TTTTTTTTTTTTTTTTTGAAACAGAGTCTCAAGCTGTCACCCTGGGTAGAGTGCCACGGGATCATACCTCACAGCAACATCCAACTCCAGCTCAAGCGATCCTCTTGCCTCAGTCTTTTCTAATTTTTAGTACAGATGAGTCTCCCTCTTGCTCAGGCTGATCTCAAACTCATGATCTCAAGCAATCTGCCCGCCTCAGCCTTCCAGAGTGCTAGGATTACAGGCATGAGTCACCGTGCCGGGCCTATTTATTTGTTTATTTTGAGACAGAGTCTCACCCTTTCCCCCTGGGTAGAGTGTTCTGGCTCCTAGCTCACAGCAACCTCAAATTCTTGGGCTCAAGTGTTTCTCTTGTCTCAGTCGCCCCAGTAGCTGGGCTACTATAGTAGCCCATAATGCCGGCTACTTTTAGAGATGGGATCTCACTCTTGCTCAGGCTGGTTTCGAACTCCTGAGCTCTAGCAATCCACCCACCTCAGCCCCGCAAAGTGCTAGGATTATAGATGTGAGCCTGAAGTACCCAACCAACTTCAGCAATTTTTAGGCACCTACATCATGACCAACTTGAGATATTTATTTTAGAAATGCAAATTTATTTTACTATTAGAAAAACAGTTATTAGGTGGCACCTGTGGCTCAGTGAGTAGGGCGCCAGCCCCATATACTGAGGGTGGCGGGTTCAAACCCAGCCCCAGCGAAACTGCAACAAAAAAATAGCTGGGTGACGTGGCGGGTGCCTGTCGTCCCAGCTACTTGGGAGGCTGAGGCAAGAGAATTGCCTAAGCGCAGGAGTTTTGAGGTTGCTGTGAGCTGTGTGACGCCATGGCACTCTACTGAGGACAATAGAGCGAGACTTTGTCTCTACAAAAAAGAGGAAAAAAAAGAAAGGAAGAAAAACAGTTATTAATAGTATGATTATCCACATTAAGATATAGGCTTGGCGCCTGTGGCTCAAGTGGCTAAGGTGCCAGCCATGTACACCCAAGGTGGTGGGTTCGAATCCAGCCTGGACGGCTGCAACCAAAAAATAGCCGGGTGTTGTGGTGGGTGCCTGTGGTCTCAGCTACTTGGGAGGCAGAGGCAGGAGACTCGCTTGAGTCCAGGAGTTGGAGGTTGCTGTGAGCTGTGATGCCACGGCACTCTACCCAGGGGTACAGCTGGAGGCTCCTGTCTCAAAAAAAAAAAAAAAGAAAGATACAAATATAGAAAAAAGATGAAGAAAAAAACATTGGATGCAATTTAATGTCCACTTATCAAGCCTCTTAAAAAATAGAAATAGAAGGGACCTGCTGAGAAAGGATATCTAAGCAGAATTTTAAGCTATTTTTTTACTTAATGATGAAATGTCTAAATCTTTCCCTTTAAGATCAGGACTAAGGCAAGAATGGCTGGTACTGTCACTGCTAGTCAACAATTACTAGCTACATCACTTGGTGACCAAACAAGGCTCCATCATCTGCAGCACTTCTAGTTCTGTCCTAATAATAAAACATCACTCCAGATTAACACTAACAATGTCATTCTAGTGTGAAGACACCAGATGAATGTGAAATATTGTTACATGTCTGTTTTTGGAGGACCATGCATTTTAAACTCTTTGGGGATAATTTACAATTCATTTTAGTTGACATTTCTTTTGAGATTTCTTCTCATTAACTTAAATTTTATATCTCATGAGCATCTCTCTTTAATGTGGCACCAGCCCCCTGCCCCCTCCCCCTTCCTCAGGGACTAGACTTGCAGCCCACCCTTGCTGGGGGACACTGGCTCTCCAGCTTATGTAGAGACTGAGAGGAACCCAGACTCTGCCTTTTGGGGCTGGAAGTGCCTGTGCACCCCTCTTTTATAAATTTTTCAAAGCCAATGTACACCACAATTACAACTATGTCCAGATAGTGTGTGTGTGTGTGTGTATAAAGAGTGGCCATAAAGTTCATGTGCAAGTTAAAATAGTATGCAATTTAAAATTGCACACAAACTTTATGGCCACCCTGTATATGTAGATAGATAACTTGATGGAGACTAGAAGATATATGAAAATAAGTCAGGCATTGTGGCAGGCGCCTGTAGTCCCAGCTACTCAGGAAGCTAAGGCAAGAGAATCACTTGAACCCAAGAGTTTGAGGTTGCTGTGAGAGCTATGACGCCATGACACTCAACCCCAGGGCAACCGAGTGAGACTGTCTCAAAAAAAAAAAAAGAAAGAAAGAAAGAAAGAAAAGAAAATATTATGTTGAGGTATTGGGATTAGAGAATATTTTTTCCATCAAATTGTTAATTTCATAAAATTATTTTTATAATAAAAATAAAGAAAAACATAAAGCAAGTATGTATATGAAATTGAGCAAGGTATTTTCTTATCAGTCTCCTTTGTACAGTAAGAGGATAAATGGTCTCTTCCGTTCTAGTCCACTCCAGGCTTTACAAAATGTTATTTTATTTTTTTTTTTTTTGTTTGTTTGTTTGTTTGTTTTGAGACAGAGCCTCAAGCTGTCCCCCTGGGTAGAGTGCCATGGCATTACAGCTCATAGCAACCTCCACTCCTGGGCTCAAGCGAGTCTCCTGCCTCCGCCTCCCAAGTAGCTGGGACCACAGGCGCCCGCCACAGCGCCTGGCCATTTCTTGGTTGCAGCCGTCATTGTTGTCTGGCGGGTCCAGGCTGGGGACTCGAACCCGCCACCCTAGGTGTACGTGGCTGGCGCCTTAGCCGGTTGAGCTATAGGCGCCGAGCCCAAAATGTTATTTTAAACTATTTAAAGGAGTCATATAAATGTGGATACAGAAGATGAAGGGGGGAGAAAAGTTTTGAATATTTTAGCATTTCCATAAAAATTAAGAAATAGGAACAATTGGCTTTGACCCCATTAGGAGCTGCAACAACAGAGGTTTTATCTGTCTAGTATGCGTTCCCATTCCTTTCCCTGGATCCTTGAAAATCCACCCCCACCTTCACCTTCCTCATCCCTCCATCTCCCCACACACATGACGATGGTGGGCAATTCCTTCGCAGTTCCTTGCCCCTTCCTCGACAGTCATTTGGTAGTCAGGAAACCAAAGTAGAGCCAATCCGGAGCTTGTCTAAAATTGATACTTGGATAGGGGGACAAAGAAGGTCCCTTTCGTCTGGGGTTCCCAAATCTTTCTGTCTACGAATGTGTGACCTTAGATAATTTTCTCTGAGCCTCAATTTTCTCACCTTACATGAGGATAATATAATCCACCTCGTAGGAATTCGTGAGAATCAAATAATATAAAGCATTAGAAAGGTCGTTATAACTTTAAAGTGCTTTGTTATATCAATCATTATTAATGAATTTGTTATTAAACAAATACAATTATATAAGCTAATGCATTGTCAGGCGTTGGTTAATGACGTCTTACAACATTAAGCTTCCCAGGGGTATTTACATGTTTTAAAGGGATCCATTACATATAAAGTACAAAAAGCAGAGCGCGCACCACGGCTGCGCACGCCGCGCTGGCGTTTGCTCGGGACGCCAGCCGTAGCTCAGAGCGGCGCGCCCGGAAGCCCGCGCGCCGGAAAACAGGGCGTGGCCTCCGTCCGCGTCTAGGCGCTCGGGCCGGTGGGAAACCGCCGTGGAGACGCCACGCGATACGTCGGCGTCGCCACTTCCGGGTCGTTGACTTCCGGTCGCCATCTTCCTCGCACTCGGGCTCTGCGACTAACGGGTAGAAGGAGCCGTTGCGTAGGGGCTGAGCTACCGCCGATATGCCGGTGTTGCCGCTGCGAGTGGCTGTGGTGTGTTCGAGTAACCAGAACCGGAGCATGGAGGCGCACAGCATCCTTAGCAAACGAGGCTTCAGTGTCCGGTCCTTTGGCACAGGGACCCATGTGAAGCTTCCGGGACCAGCGCCCGACAAGCCCAATGTTTATGATTTCAGAACCACATATGATCAGATGTACAACGATCTTATTAAGAAAGACAAAGAACTTTATACACAGAATGGCATTTTACATATGTTGGACAGAAATAAGAGAATCAAACCCCGGCCAGAGAGGTTCCAAAACTGCAAAGATCTTTTTGATCTGATCCTCACTTGTGAAGAGAGAGTCTACGACCAGGTGGTGGAAGATCTGAATTCCAGAGAACAGGAGACCTTCCAGCCGGTACATGTCGTCAATGTGGACATCCAGGACAACCACGAAGAGGCCACTCTGGGAGCGTTTCTCATCTGTGAGCTCTGCCAGTGTATCCAGCATACGGAGGATATGGAGAATGAGATCGATGAGCTGCTGCAGGAGTTTGAGGAGAAGAGCGGCAGAACCTTCCTACACACGGTGTGCTTCTACTAACCCCCAGGCCTGCCCTCCCTCTGGAAGCCAGAAGCCATCTTCCTCAGCCTCCTTTTGTTGACGTTTTCTTCTAATGGTTATTTTGACTTTTACGTATTCTGTTGGTGGACAGTAATATTATGCAGTAAACTGTACTACATGAGAAGATACACATAAATGCCTGATTAAAAACAGTCCGGCTTTTTCTATCCCACTTTTATTTATGAATAGGATATTGGTTATAAAGTTTTCTTTAATCGATAAAAAAATAAAATGATTTATAGTTCATTTCCCTTGACATTCCTGTGTCCTCGGTTGTGCCTTTTTCCCTTCCCTCCCCCTCAACTGGCTGGACTGTACAGATACTTGCATAAAGTAATGGGCTTTATCTTATTAAAAAACCTGGGATTGTCCAATAAATAGATGCTGCTCAAAAAAAGTACATAAAGTACAAGGATAGGCAGCACTAGTCTATGCTGTCAGGAATTAGGGTGGTGGTTAATTTTGCAGGGAAGGCAAGTGATCAGAGGGAGCATGAGGAGGTTTATGGGGGATGTTGGTTGTTTCTGTTTCTTCCTTATTTTTTTTTTTTTCAGATAGTCTCATGGTATCACCCAGGCTAGAGTGCAGTGGCATCATCATAGCTTACTGCAACCTCAAAATTTCAAACTCCTGGGCTCAAGCAATACTCCTGTCTCAGCCTCCCAAGTAGCTGGGACTGTGTGCACATCACCATGGCCAGCTAATATTTCTAGTTCTTTTTTTTTTTTTTTTTTTTTAATATTTCTAGTTCTTGTAAAGGAGACAGGGTCTTGCTCTTGCTTAGGCAGGTCTCCAAGTCCTGGCCTCAAGTGATCCTTCCCTCTTGGCCCCGCAAAGTGCTAACATTAGAGGTGTGAGCCATTGTGCCTGGTATGTTCTGTTTCTTTATCTGGGTTTTATTAATAATTACATGGGAGTTTTGACAGAAGATTAATTGTCCTGTATGCTTAAGATAAGTGCCCTGTTCTATATGTATGTTACGATTTAATAAGTTTTTAAAACTTGGGGACTCATATTTCCAAGAAGGTGCAGTATGCATACTTTTCCTTCTTCTAAATACTACCAAAAACCCAATAAATACAGAGTTTAAAAAAGATTTTTAAAGCCTGCTTTTTATAGCTAAAGGGCCAAGAAAGGAACAGTATAAGAAAAGAGAAAGCTTTTAGACAGAAGCTCAATTTTAGCTAAATACCACAGAGAAAACTGTCCCCATCCCCATTCACATCAGCAAAGGCCAAGTGAGGAGCCTAGAATACCACCCTTGCCAAGCTATAACAAGATGTCCCGACCCATCCACTGTGGCAGCAACAAGAGAAGGCCAAGTACAGAGCTAGCACTTTTCATCCCTGGTTGGTAGTAATGAGAAACTCACACGGGGAACCTGTACTTCACCCTATGCCCTTCCTGCTTGGGTAGTATCAGAGGAAGCCTAGTGGAGTGTCAGGACTTTTACCCTTGTTAAGTACTGGAGTCCCCAACCCCTGGCCTACGGACAAGTGTGTTCTGTTAGGAAGGCAGCCACACAGCTGGAGATGAGCAGTGGACAAGTGAGCAAAGCTTCGCCTGTATTTGCAGCAACTCATCGCTCCCATCACTGCCTGAGCTCTGTCTCCTATAAGATCAGCAGGGACATTCTAGACTCTCATAGAAGTGCAAACCCTACTGTAAACTGAGCATGTGAGGGATCTAGGTTGTGTGCTGCTTATGAGAATCTAATGCTAATTATCTGAGGTGGAGCTGAGGCAGTGATGCTAGTGCTGAGGAGTGGCTGCAACAATCTGAGTTGCAGGAAAACAAGCTTGGGACTCCTACTGATTCTGCATTATGGCGAATTGTATAATTATTTCATTATGTATTACAATGTAATAATAGTAGAAATAAAGTACATGATAAATGCAATGTACTTGAATCATCCTGAAACCACCCGCACCTAGGACTAGAAAAATTGTCTTTCATGAAACCAGTCCCTGGTGCCAAAAAGGTTGGGGACTGCTAGTTAAGCAGTATTGAGACCGCCTTCTCCCTGCAGTGTAAGTGGAGGCCTAGGGGGAGCCAGAACTCCCACCCCACTCAGTAGTAATAAAGAGACACCCCCCAACCAGAGGCCAACACTAACAGAGGCTGAACGGACTTCTGTGCTAACCTGGCAGTAATGGGGAGACACCTCACCCCTCCTTTCCCTAACAGCAATGTAAAAAAAAAAAAACTTGGGCAGAACAGAAGGCTTATTGTCTTTTGTGGGGTTTTTTTGGAGACAGAGTCTCGCCCTTGGTAGAGTGTCATGGTGTCACAGCTCACAGCATCCTCAGAATCTTGGGCTCAAGAAATCCTCTTGCCTCAGCCTCCAAGTAGCTGGGACTATAGGCGCCCACAACAGCCAGCTGTTCTTAGAGGCAGGGTCTCGCTTTCGCTCAGGCTAGTCTGGAACCTATGAGCTCAGGCAATCCACCCACCTCAGCCTCCCAGAGCGCTGGGATTACAGGCATGAGGCACTGTGCCAGGCCCGGGTTTTTTTGTTTTTTTGAGAAAGAATCTCAAGCTGTCGCCCTGGGTAGAGTGCTGTGACATCACAGCAACCTCCAACTCGTGGGCTCATGCAATCCCCTTACCTCCGTTTTTCTATTTTTTAGTAGCGACAGGCTCTCGTTTTTGCTCAGGCTGGTCTCAAATCTGTGAGCTCAAGCAATCCACCTGCCTCAGCCTCCCAGTGTTCTAGGATTACAGACATGAACCACCACGCCCAGCCAATGCCCAAGTTTTAATAAAAAAATTATTCATCATACTAGAAACAAGGAAGATCTCAAAATGAATGAAAAATGATAATCTATAGATACCAACACTGGGATGAAACATTAAAATTATCTGACAAAGAATTTAAACCATCCATTATAAAAGTAACCTGCAATCCCAGCACTCTGGGAGGCCAAGGTGAGTGGATTGCCTGAGATTATGGGTTTAAGACCAGCCAAAGCAAGAGCAAGACCCCATCTCCAAAAAATAGCCAGGCATTGTGGTAGGCGCCTGTAGTCCCAGCTATTTGGGAGGCTGATGCAAGAGAATAGCTTGAGCCCAAGAGTTTGAGGTTGCTATGAGCTATGATGCCACAGCACACTACAAGGGTGAGAAAGTGAGACTCTGTCTAAATAAATAAATAATTACAAACACACTTAACTCAAATGAAAAAATAGAAAAAATAAATAAACGGAGCCTCAGGGACATGTAGGACTTTGACAAAAAATCAGATCCAGCATCGGTATCATTGAAGCCTCAAAAGGAAAGTATAAATAGGGTTAAGGCTAAGAAAGTATGCAAAGAAATAATGGTCCAAAATGTCCCAAATTTGGCGAAAGATATAAACCTATAGATGCAAGAGGCTCAGTGGGCTCCATATAGGATAAGCCCCCCAAAATTCAAACAAAGACACGAATTTCTGGACTAAAGACAGAGAAATGGAGAGAAATGACACAACAGGAGAACAATTGAATAACAGGATTTAAGGCTCGGTGCCTGTGGCTCAAGCGGCTAAGGCGCCAGCCACATACACCTACGGTGGTGTGTTCGAATCCAGCCCGGGCCCACCAAACAACAATAATGGCTGCAACCAAAATAGCCAGGCGTTGTGGTGGGTGCCTTTGGCCCCAGCTACTTGGGAGGCTGAGACAGGAGACTCACTTCAGCCCAGGAGTTGGAAGTTGCTGTGAGCAGTGAAGCCATAGCACTCTACCCAGGGGGACAGCTTGAGGCTCCGTCTCAAAAAAAAAAAAAAAAGAATAACAGGATTTAAAATCAGAAAACAGAGTAGAAGTGGCAGCATCTTTCAAGTACTAAAAGAAATAAACTATCAATCATGATTTCTATATCCAGTGAAAATATTCTTCAAAAATGAAGGGGAAAGCAAGACATTCCCAACTGTTGGGAAACTAAGAGAATTTGTTGCCTGCATATCTACTCTAAATAACGGCTAAAGGAAGTTTGCTAAACAAAAAGGAAATAATAAAAGAAGGATTCTTGGAATGTGAGGAAGAAAGAGAGAATAATATGATAAACAAAAAATGTAAGTAAATAACAGCAGACTTTCCTTCTCTTGAGTTTTTTTTTTTT